TGTGTGTGTACATTAGTATGGTTTCTACTTTCTAGTCTAGGAATAAAAACCCAAATTTGCTATTCTGTTTGATTATATGATTTTATGTTGACTTTGACTAGATATTTTAACAATAACATGTATTTGTATTATTGAAATCTTTAATTCTTACAAAAATGACATGTTATTATTTAACTTTTTTTAGCATTTATGTGCGTTTCTGAATTCAAGTAAACATATACAGCAGCTTTAATTTTAAAGATAATTATTGACAAATAATTAGCAATTTTTTTTTTTAAATTGTTAATTTTGTAGGGAATTGGGAATAATATTTGCCCAATTTGATTTATTTTTTTTCTCTCTATTGCCTAAAAAAATTAATAAAGAAATAGTATAATTTATTATCAAATTACAACAAGATTGTTTAAAATTCGGTTCCATAAATCTAAAATATAATTTCAAAAACTAAAAAGAGAAATTAAATTGCTCCATTCAAAAAATCTGGAAAAAAATTAAAAAAAAAATATGTGATTGTTATAATGTAAAACAAAGGGCCGCCCCTGTAGTAGGCTGCCTCTCTCTATTATATATCTTTCTTTGACCTCTCTCCTAATTCTCTCTCTCTCTTTCTTGTTTCATTTTCATGGCGACCCCTCTCTCTTCATCTTTTTAGTGCTCTAACATCAGCTCAGACTACTTCTCTCTCTCTCTCTCTCTCTCTCTTTGATGTGAACAATATGAACTCCAAAATAGATACAATTTTCCCTCTCTCTTCTTTCATTTGATTCATATCTGAAAACCCTAATTATCTCAGGTACCATAAAAAGATATCATTTTTGCACAGCATAACCAGGCAGATCCTTCTCTTCCAAAGCTTATTCAAAGCCATGCCCACAGGTACGGTGTCTTCTCTCTCTCTCTCTCTCTCTCTCTCTCTCTCTCATGGTTAATTGCTAAATATGGATACTTGTTATTAATGGGTTTTGTAGTATAATAAGCAAAGGAAATAAAAAAATTAAAAAACCCCATTTGCTTTGCTTTGTTTTGCTTATTATTCCTTCTTTTGTTGCCTATTAACTATCTCTTTCTTTTTTATTCTTTTTTTGGTTTTCTTGTTTTGTTTCTTCAAGAATCGATATCCTTGCCCTGAGAAGGATATACACAGATCAAAAAAAGAAAGATCGCTTATGGATTCCGGCAACAACAGCGGGAGCCTCCACTCGTCCAGCGGCGGAGACGATGAGTACGACTCGCGCGCCTCCGCGGACCACCACAACATATTCATGGCCACCCAGCCCCCACCGGCCCCCTTGTTCGACCCTTTCTCCAACTACACCCAACCGCTCCTCCACCCCAACCCCCTCCAGAACCCGAACCCGCCCTGGCCGGGGTCGGCTCCCCTCCGATCCGACCCGAACCCCCACTCCCAATCCCAAACCTTCCTCAACCCCTTCATGCCCTCCTTCCAGACGCCACCACCGCCGCCCCCTCCCCAATCCGACACTGCCGCCGCCACGACCACCGCCGCAGCCCCTCCGACGGCGGCGCGGAATCCGAGGAAGAGATCCCGAGCCTCCAGGCGCGCCCCGACCACCGTTTTGACGACGGACACCACCAACTTCCGGGCCATGGTCCAGGAATTCACGGGCATACCCGCCCCGCCCTTCACCGGCCCATCCTTCCCACGCCCCAACCGCCTCGACACCCTCTTGGCCTCGAGATCCGCCCTGGAGGCCGCCGCCACGCCCTACCTCCGCCGCCCCTTCTCCCACAGGGGGCCCACGCCGCCGCCGCCGTTCTTCCTCCCAACCTCCGCCACTAATAATAATGATACTAATAATAATCTTTTACTAAGCATCAATAATAGCAACCAAAATAACGACGACAACAACAACAACAACAACAATCAGAGCCAAAACCAGCTTTTCACCTCCCTCCTCCAAACCAGCCCATCCAAGTTCGTATTCTCCGGCGGCGGCGGCTCCTCCGCCACGTCATCATCAAAGCCCGCGTTCGATTTCCAGCCGGACGATATCAAGACCAGGCCGGGCCTGGACGCATTCGGGCTGGGCGTGGGCCACGGGACCTATGCGGCCAACGACCTCCCGAGCCTTGTCTCGTCCGACCGGGCCGGGGCTCGAAATGACGGTGAGGACGACGAGAATGCAGCCAAATGGAGGAGGAACAACAGCAGCAGCGATGCTAATCAAGGATACAATCAGGCCCGAATGAAGTCCGGGGGATTCGACTTTTCGGGCCCAAACTCATCTGGGCCGGGCCCGGATAACAGTATTCCCACAAGCAGAGTAGGAGACCAAGGTATGGTGGAATCGTGGATTTTTTCTTCAGACTAGAAATGATTACGAGCTTAGAAAGTGAGATGGGGTAATTATGAGGGCTATCATTAAAATGTTGATTTTTTTCTTCTTTTTTTTTTTTTAAATGACTAAAAAAAAGTTTCATTATATTATATTAGTGGTGAAAATTCTTGATTTTTTTGGAAACCAAGATTTTCACGAAAGTTTTTAATTTAATTTTTAACGATGATAACAATGTATCGATGATATATAATTGCTTATTAAAAGTTGTTGTGTAAATAATAATAATAGTTGTCCTCCTAATTGTTTAAATTTATAAATACATTCGCATCGTAACATATAAATATGGGAGAAATGCTACGTCCAGTTTACGAACTATTCTCAGAGTTCGTAACCGTTAAATCATGATGTAACTGTCGGGATAGTTGATCTAACGATTACAAACCACGACAGAATGATTCTGTAACAACTAACGAGACCCTAGCATATATCTCCGGACACATATATAGTCATACGCATGAATCGTGGTGTTTGGTCTTTGGACTTGTATTTTGTTTGAATTCATCATAATATTCCTCTATTTATTTATTTATATCTTATTCTTTAATTTCTAGCTTTCACACTTAAGTTTGACTGGATGAAATAAGATGTTGATTAACAGGAGAAACAATCAGAGAATAGATTATCCTATATACATATTG